CCTACATGACTATCAGTATATGATGTTACCAAGAGAGTGTTGCAGTTAGAATTTTTTTAATTTACAAAAGTTACTCCATATTTTAAAATTAATTGTGTTTGACTTTGAATAAAGTTTAGTGTTAAATGTGGGAAGATTTAATCTAATACCTTCATTAAGGTATTAACATTATTATTAAAATTTATTAATATAATTTTGCTAAAATTATATTCTTTCTTAAACTCAAAATAATTATGAATATAATTATTTCCCCACTATCAATTCCTAATAAAGTACAAATCTAATCCACAGAAGTAAGTGGCAACTCTGAGGAAAGCATATAAAAAGTTACAAACTGTATAACTTTTAATTTTATTTATTTCATAGTCTCAATTTCTATAGAATGGAGAACTTAACAAGCATGGAAAAACAAATACCTCAATAAATATTCCTAGATTTATCCTTTCATTCAAGTTTTTTTTTATTTATGTGACAAAGAAAAGTCAAAAGTTCTAGTATGTTTATGTTTCTATGCATATCATTCCTCAGAAAAGGTTATTATAACCTGAACTGTTAAATAGAATTCTTGCTTTTCTTGTGGGGATTCCCTCCCTGCCACAGAGACACACATTGTATCACATAGTAGGGTCAAGCATAAAGTAACTTAAATACTTCTGTAACTTTGCAGTATTAACTTACTAGTGTTTTTGTGCTGTTGTAGTCCCAAGTGTGCTGTGTGTGCCTGGAGCTGTACCCTTCATGTTGTGTTTGCTATCTTTCTTATTTGAGTAACCCAAGAATTTACTCTGATTTGAGGCATTGCATAAGTGCTTTATGTCCGTTGGTTTATTCATTTCAAGCTTCTTGATAATTAAGTGATTGGTTAATTACTTTTTAATTCTTTTGTTAAAATCTTTCCTTAGAACTGTATTTTACATTGTTACAAACTGTATCTTTTCTATTGTTGAGATAATTAGGTCCAAGAAAATAAGGAAACATTCAGGGTTTGATGTATTCTGATGTCTCAACTGTTTTTATTAGAAAATGGAGGTAGCTCTATATGGCAGTAGTTGAATTTTTATCTCTTAACAAAGTTCATAATTTTGGCTTTATGAGCTTCAAATTACAAAAGAGCATTAAATTAATCTTCCTTCATTAGAAATCTATTTAATGGATTTGGCGTAGCCTGATAAAAAGAGGCTACCTTTCTATAAAAGTAAACATTCTGTGAAACCAAGCAAGGAACAATCAAAACAAAAACTCTGAAGTTTTTTGTGAAATTAAAATTGGAGTAAGAAGGTAGTCAACTGGAGAATCTGCCTTTTTTATTTACAACAGCATTTGACATAATTTAAATTTTAAGTAATTAAGAAATTACACTGCAACAGAAAGTTTTAACAACCTTTTCTATAACTTAATACAATGCTATTTGAGACTGCCAGCTAATTCTTAAAACTCCTGGACACTGGCTCTCTTCTCTTCTGGCTTCTCTCCTAGTCATGTCTTGGCTACTATCCAGAGCTGACAACTTTCACCCAGGACTAAAGGGAGATTTGTCTAGTATAAGAAAGATTTTTGAGTCATCCTAGATTTTCACATCCAGATGGGCAAGAAGGAAGGGGTGGCGGTATCATTATACACATTTGGGTGATGTCATTATGCCATGCATGCGGTATAACCATTAATTTACCCTACTAGTAAATCCTGAATGTTTTCAAATGTTCCTTATTGGCAACTATAATGTAACAACTTCAAAATAACCACAAAAATTATTCAAAATTTTTGTCTAAGTAATAGAAACACAAATACCTTTACTTCTCCATTTCTAACTACATACGTATACTGTAGACCAAAGAGGTTTCACATCTTGACTTATAAAACACTTCGAATCTGTTAAGATGAGAATACAGAAGTTCCAGTTTCAGAGTCGCTGCTAAAATCGTTGTGCTAAAGCTTTCTGAACACTGCAGACAATTTATTGTCCATAGTGTATTCCTCTTAGGGTGAATTGTGATTGTTACGCTTTTAAGGAGTTTTTTTAAGCTGTTAATTTTAAATTCTTTTAAGTAAATTCACCTTTATCTAAAAGACCATTTAGTATTAATATTAAAATTTGAAAGACCTTTTGACAAGAGTGGTTTAAAGATATGATTATATCAATATACCATACTCCCTATGAATCTTGGAGGTGTAGAAGTAATCTGTAACACTCATTGAACTTTTTAAAAAAGTACGTATATGCCCAAGTATCTTTTATGCTCCTACAAATAACTAAGACTGATTGTGTTTATAATTAAGATAAAGTTTATCTCATTCAGAAACTTAGATGTTATTCTTATATAATTTCCTGTGCTCTTTACTTTATAGACACTTTTCAGATATCTATACAACTTTCACAATTAATCTGGTTTGCTACATTTCATAAACTATTTTCCACAATTGCTGTGCTTACTGCAAAAGCAATAAGGTCACTGTTGAATGTAACTTATTTTATGGTAATAATTAAAAGTTTATTCTTGTTCTAATACTTCATGAAAGCTTTTAAAGTAGAATTTAGTTTGTAATAAATAACCAATGTAAACTTATGAAACTTAGAAATACAATAAATGAAATATATGAATCAGTTTCTGAAATTTTTAGATCCAGGCTGTCTGTATCTTTTATATTTATAATTCATTAGTTTCCCTCTGCAAAATGGGTAACTTTTTTAATCTCTCACAAATTTTTTTTAATCTCTCACAAATTACCTTAAAAACACATAATGTAGATAAATATTACAGGGTGTTAAGTGGTTTATTAGTAAATTTTAAGGTTAAATTAAGGGAAAAAAACACTCTATGAAATAAACAAATGTCAAGTTGACCATTTAAATATGCAGGACCTTGGTTATATATCAATAGAATGGAAGACTAACTCCCTCCTTAAATCTTACAATTTCTATTATTCATCTTATTGAGAAAGCCCTAGTTTATATCACTGAAATCCTGAATAGTTGAGTTCTAGCAAAAATTGACTTCTATAATTTTAGATTCAGATATTTAGATACAAAGGCTTAGTCTTCTATTTATAGATAAAAGGAAATCTGACCTTTTTGATTAAGAAATATTGTCAGTAGCCTTTATAAGTGCTTGTTCATCTGAGGTCCATGCCAGGAGTACTCTTCCCAGTTGAGTTTATCCTAAAAATGAAATAAAAGTCTGCTGGTTGTTATCTAAGATTCTTCTTAATGGGAGAACCACATGGTTATTCTTCATCTCCCACTTGTTCTCACCCTCTACACCCAACTCAGCCATACCCCACCCCCACCCCAACATTGTTCAGTACTCAGCACAATGAATCATTTTCAAGTTGACTCATTGTGAACTGTCTCCCAGCTGTTGGAATGTCTGGCAGACATTTTTGTTTGGGTGAAGAATAACTGGCTGTAACCCAACCTGGATGAGTTTGATAAAATGGTCTTTGGCTAAAGAAATATTGAGAGGAACGTGTTTATGGCCTCCGAAACCCCTGTTATTCCTGGAGTAGGACCATCCCCTGTGGCATAGAACTGAAAGTAAGGAATCAATCTGAATTATTTTCTCACCACTGAATGAAAAATTGCTTTGGAAAAAAAATAGGCATTTTCAAATCATGTTTGTTTTTCTTTACTTGGTACCCACGTGATTTAAAATATTAAAGACAATTAATGATAATTATTTTTACTGGCTCCTTTTAAGAGCCTTTCAAAGGCTGAAACATTCTTTTTATAACACACATTTCTACTTATAGAGGAGTTTCAAAACTGCCCTGGATGTGAGTTAACCAGTCATCTCAGCGTAATGCTTAGTGACAGAGGTTACTATGTATTTCAGACCAAGTCAGGTAACATTGACCAGTCCTCTTATATTTTTCGTTCTTATTCAGTCTTTAAAAGAGGACTTCAGAAACAGGAATACCAGTAAGCTCAATGGTCAGTCACATTCTCAGAAAGTGAACTTACTGATTGTATTTGGATTTTCCTTAACAGGGGATACAGCATCAGACTAAATTTTCTTGACAGTCTTATTTTCCCATCCTTTTTTAAAGATTAGTTTTTAAATGGTAGACATTACCAATGTCTAAATCAGGAGTTTCAAAATTATAAAATTTTATAAATTTTTTCAACTTATCTAAATCTTCAGATCAAACATTTTTGTAAGATGTTATAGCATATAAAAGAGTTTTCTGACCTACACCCTGTCAGGGGTTGTAAGGAATACTCAATTTTTATTAAATAAAATTCAAGAAAACCTACAGGGTATTAAGTGATTATATTTTTAATGATTATGAAACCTGGATATTTTAGAACTTTGGCTACTTAAAATGTGATACTTTTTATAATGTACTGTTCAGCCATATTTTTGGTTCAGGTTCAGTTGTGTTGGGAAGGAAAGGGTAGGCTACTAGTCTAGTGCTAGTCATCTACCATCTTTTCTTTGCCTTTATTGTTATCCCAGAGCCAAATAGCAGCATCTGGAAAGAGAACAGGAGACTCCAAAGCTAGCCATCCTGCAGCCTCTTAGCTGTCCTCTTCCATGTTTCTGATCTGATGCAGAGGACCTCAGCTGTTACAGGGCTGGGACCTAGTCCCAGTTGACAGATGATAATGGGACCTTGCCTCACACGTTACACCGTACTACATACTGCTTCTGAATCCTGATGTTTGTCTGATTTTCCAGTGGGCAGTGGGTAAAGTAATTTGAAAAATAAGTGTATGAAGATAAAGGTGGCCTTGCCCCTTAAGAGAAAAATTTTCTGTAAAAACTAAGACATGACCCCTTCACTCTTCAGATTAGAATAGGGTACCTATACGGGCTGGAATTCTCAATTAAGGGCATATTTTTGCATCCAGTTTTCCGCCTGTCGTAGCTTTAACTTTTCAGTTATTTCTCCATGTTGATGGTCTATCTTCTCTACAATTTGTCACTGAGTTGGCGTAATGGCATTGTCTAGACGGCATACTTATAAATTTAACATGAGTGTTTTGTTTCCTTGTTTTACAGAATAAAGCAATTATTGCTCGTGTTAGAAACTTGTCAGATATAGTAGTTGGTCTGGAATCATTTATTGGCTCTGAGAAAGAAACCAACCCATTATATAAGGATTTTCATGGTAAGCAGCACCTTCATAATGAAAAGAGCATGTTCTGGTTGCCTGGAAGAATCTTATTCAGTCATAGTATCTGCTGTCACGTAGCATGGATTTTATTGTATAATGTGTCTGTTAAATGTTTTTCCTTCCAGGCCAATCTTTAGTGGCAGCTTGTCACCAGACTACATTAAGATTACACACTATAGTAACTATTTGAAAGATGTCAAACCCAAGTACTAAAGCATGGCTCAGTCAGATGTACATTTTGCCAGAGTGGCCTAAAGTTGCTGTGAACTCATTCATACTTATCAACCGTGTTAGAAATAAATATTATATTACTTCTAATAATAATAGCTATGTATAGTGGTTTATACTTTACAAAGCTTAGCTGTATGATAAACAAAATTCACATTGCATCATATTTTAAAAGTCCTAGTCAATCACATTTTCAGAAAATGGACATCTTTTATTATATTTGGACTTTGCCCATTTTGTTGTTAGAGTTATTAGCAAACTTTAAAATATTGCCACTGTAGTATAAACACAGATCAGTTAATCAGACATTTTACTTGTATTTTTTGAAGACTTTAACAGTATTTTAGTCATTTGGTTAATTTAGGGATTTTTTTAAATAAAAGTTCCTACATAGAACTGTTGCAATAGGGTAAGTTTAGTAGTTATGCGTATCTTAGCTCTGAATGAATATAGATTGTGGTGAATAATAAACTTTTACTTATTTGCTTATTCTGAGTAAATATTAATTATTGATATCATTCTTGTGGAACTACTATACTTCTATGGAAACTTCTAGTCTGCAGACTGAATAGCTTATTTGAAGCCTGCTACAAGATTCTGTAAGAGTGTGGTTGTAGGACTATGGTGATTTCTAAAGTGTACCAAAAAAAAGATTATATAATACTTATGTGATAACCTCCAGTGCTTTGAAGAGTTGGCATAAGACCTTTAAAAAAAATAGTAAACCAGCATGATCTAACAATCAAGTATTTTTTAGAAAGGTAGAAAATAGAAGCTGTGAACACAAGCTTCATAAAATAATTTCCCTCATGCTCATTGCATAAGTGTGCATGTGGTATATGCCCAGAGTAACCCTATATATAATTCATTTAATATATTATTGTTGCTTTGATAGAAAGAGCTATTAAGATTATACTGGGTTTTTTTCTTTTTCTAAAATTTGTGTCGACATATAATTGACATATAGCATCATGTTCATTTTAGGTGTACAACATAATGATCTGATATATGTGTATATTAAGAAATTATTGCCATAATTTAATTAATATCTATCACTACACAGTTACAATTTTTTTTTCTATTGGTGAGAATGTTTAAGATTTACTCTCTTAGCAACTTTCAAATATACAATACAGAATTATTAACCAGAGTCACCATGCTGTACATTACGTCTCCAGGACTTATGATATCTTATAACCAGATAAACTATTTCTTTAATTTATTATTTGCATTTTCTTTTAAAACAACCCAAGTTAATCATTACCTTTATAAACTATTGAGTATCATTTGTTAGTATTATGTCCTTATAAAGATAGTAGAGTTCTATTTTATATTCTAAAAGCATATTATTTTGATTAAAACATTTCAAGGGGTAAAAAACTATGATTTTTTTGTGCTGAAATCTCTGGATTGATAAATTTATTTCCCACAGATTAGTGGGTGGTTCTGATGACGAGTAAAGTTTCTGTTAATAAGAAGGGCCTGATGAATCACTGACGCACTCTATAAGGCCTCCTGCTTTAAATAGCTAAACAAGCATCGCAAGGTTAAAATGAGAAACATGTAAATGAAAGTATGGTGTGATTACTTCTACTATATTTTTCTTAATAGCTCTGTATGAGATATTTTTAATTTGTATGTACAAGCTGTCTTCTTAATAACACCTTTTACATTTTCTTAAGTTTAAAAATGAAGTCAGATATTTTAGTGAATTATTTTTGAAGAGGCTATTTTGAAAGGTACTTGGAGGTTGACCCTTTTAAGCTAACAAATAGTAATACACTTCTAAGCATCCAAACACACACACACACACACAAGCTATATACTAGAGAAACAATCTGTAAATAAGATTTATCTAATTTGTTCACATCTCGATTTGCCTTCTTCCCCCTGGTTGAGGGATCAAATGTCTTTGGGATGGCGATTTTTAATATGGGCTGAGTCAGGCAGAGAAACACACTGAAGAATCTTCCATGTCTTCATCTGTGGCAGATGACCCCTAGTTTAGTCAGAAACTGCATTAAGCTGCACAAAAGCCATCCAGTGCCCTTGTCAGAAAAAATTAGCAAGTGTTTCTACTGACAAGAGGCCAAAGCTCACGGTTTACCTAGCACTGTTACAAAGCTTATAACAGCTACATAAAGGTCTAACGTGCTGCAGAAATGAGTGTCTTGGGATGGCATAGGGGTTAATGTTTGATCCCAGAGTGTGCTCTGAAATGTAGTTTTCTTCAATGGTTTGTTCAAGTCATTAATAAGGTACAAAATGAAATACTTTTCATTAGTGCTTCACTGGTTATCAGTAACCCGTAAGCCTTGTTTTGCTGGCTGCTTACTGGTGCATTTAATAAAATAAAGATCACTCAGTGGTGCCGTGGGCAGCATGCAAGGTGATAGCCATATTTGCTTACTGTAAATACAAGAGAAAATCACACACAAACCGGCTGTAGTTTTGACAAGTATTAAGATCCCTCTTTACATCTGTACTTCTGTACCAAAGTGCAATTAGTTTTCCTCGCACAAGGATTTCTGTTTATCTTATTCTGCTTGATTACTTGAGTATAATCACACCATTTGCTTCATTGCTCCTGGTAGTAAGCTCCAGTTTTAAAAGGGGGAGGATGCTTGTGTGTAAATTTACGGAATTCTGCTGTAAGACTCTCTAATTTATGCATCCAGTGACAGCGTTTTTTTAATGTTTTTATTCTGATTTCCTTTCCACAAGGTTTGATTCATATACGGCAGATTCCTCGGCTTAATAACTTGATCTGTGATGTATCAGATGTCAAAGACTTAGCTTTTAAATTAAAAAGGAAACTATTCACCATTGAGGTAAGAGAGAATTTTTATGTTTTAGTTCACAGTCTTAAGGTAAATAATACCTCTTTCTATTTTTTATTTTACTTTTATGAAATTCTTAAGAGAGATTTCATGCTAAATATTTTTAAGTTCCTTTGGTGTAATAGAATAATTTTTTTTAACTATCCCTTTTTGTCTTGTATTTTAATGGTATATCGTTAGATTATGGCAAAAATGAGTTTGTCTTAAATGTCTGTTAAAAGTAAGCTCCAAACTTACGTGATAATTATGATGTGCATATGTCCAAGGCTTTCAAACGCATATTTAATTAAATGTTAATGAGCTGTGCTTATTTCTGCATGGTATGCGAATGCTACCCACAATTGTGTATGGTTAAGAAAAGAAGACCCTTATCTACATTCTAAAAGCAGTTTTCTTCACTATCAGTGCAATCACCTTATTGCTTTCAGTGCTGAATGAAACAAAGTATAATTTATATCAGTGCCTTTAAGTAAATTTTTTACAAAATCTTATTTCTTTGTGTGACCTTTATGCCAGCAATAGTGACAGAAAGTAGAAATACAAAAGATTTATTTCCACTTAATCTTGCTAAAGAGCAAATGAACATAGCACTATTAAGCAATTAAAGTTGATGTATTTATTAACGAAATAAATGCTCGGAGAGAGATGGCTTTTGGGTGATGTGATAGTTATCAGTATAGTCAGTGCAATTTTTTTTTAACAAAGACATAAAACAGCCAAGCAGCCTTGACAAACCATTTTGTTTAATCTCTTTTCAAATGAAAAGCTCTTAAGCAGGCCACTTGTCTTAACTGCTTGAAACCATAAAAAGAGAGAATTGCCACCAATAAATTAGCATATTTTTAACTTCATCACCAAATGATGGTCAATGTGGCTTGGCACTGCTTTGGTGTTTGGGACTTCACCCTTAAGTGACCACTCTGGCCCTTTTTTGACCCTCTGGCCTCTTTAGCTGGCCACTTGATAAGATAACTTAATGGTTCTCTCTCTTTTTCTCTTTCCCTTCACATTTGCAAGTAGCACTAACCTATAAATCATTGTAAGGGCCCTATCCAGTGACAAATTAATGTGCCCTCCTCCTAATTAATGGTCATCAATGTCCTTAATTATCTAATCCTATTGAGAGCAGTTAATAGTTAATCAGGCAGCCAGTTCTTCAAGCAGGTCATCTCTGCAGGAGTGTTAGAAGTTTCTCATCTGGGGAGACTCCCTTCAAAAGCCACTTAAAGCCAAAAGAAGGAGAGTATAGAAATAGTGATTCTTGAGCTAATTTGCCGTAGTTCTCAAAAGGAACCATTGAAATGGAACCCAACACTGTTAATTGTTCAAACATTGTTTCAGTTTTCCTAATAGAATATTGAGCAATGTACCATTATATTGCTTAAAACTCTTAGAGGAATAAAGTTATAGTTGTTAGCGTCACAAGGAAGGCAGACCTTGTCATTTTCTTTTAAGTTGAATTTGTATATTAAATAAAAGATATAGGGTTTTTTCCCTCCATCTGGCACCTTCTCCCTAGATGAATATTTCCACAACCAGGTCTAAGATATCATGTCTATCACCATACAAATGAAGCAAGGAGATTTTCTAGTGAAAACCATAGTGCACGCAGAGAAGAAGGTAGCACAGTGGTGTGAATCATGTTTATTCTCTCTCTCTCTCTCTCTCTCTCTCTCTCTCTCTCTCTCTCTGTCTCTCTTTCTCTCTCTCTCTCTCTCACACACACACACACACAGGGTCCTATTTTGGGGGTGAGGATGTAGAAATAAAGAACTTACATCATGTCAAGTGGGAGCTTTCCTTTAATGGGGACTGCATTTTCCAGTGAGGCTGATGGAAGAGCTAGGTTTCTGTTCCATTTCCTCTCTTCTTCCCACTATTCTTAACTAAGAGAACCATTATAATTGATCACCCTATGGCTTGGAAGCAGTATTTGAATGCAAAACTCAAGGAGCTGGTTTTTTTTTAAAAAAAAAAAATTAATATTTAATTTGATCAATCCTTTACCTTTTTGGCTTATAACCTAATCAGTACTTTAAATAATGTATATGTGTAGAAATAGTAGGTGAAACATATTCTAAATAACTCATTTACTTATGCCATAACATTCAATTTGGTGATTAGAAGAAATATAAATTAATCAAACCTAACAGAAATACATATACGTATAATTATAACAGGATAAAATCATGTAGTTGACAAAAGATAAGTGCTTTAAATATACCATTGCACATTATAAAATGCATATTGAAACCAAGAGCAAGTCTCTGGTGATATGTTATGGACACTGGAAACAAGAGGTTTCCTTTATCAAGTGGCAATGTTTCAATATGCACAACAAATAAATGTTTTTTTAAAACTGTCCTAGTATTTAAAAAAGAATAAAATGTACACTATACTAGTCTAAATAAAGTCTGAAGCTATAATATACCAGACATTGAATCTGTCTTACATTCAGAACAGAAAGGTGGTTTAGCAGATAAAGCAGAAATAACTTTTCTGATTCCATGCGGGTAGATTTGTTACATGTTGGACCTTACTGTGAGTCTCATGGTCTCAAAAGGTGGCATGGTCGAAAACAAGGGGCAAAAGAAACAAGCAAAACCCCTCATCTCTATTTTTAGCCACCCTTTTCTTTGCGTTATTAAATCATTGCCCTTTTAACGTATGAAAACTGAGTATGTTTTTCCTAATAGCCGTGTGGGACCTCTAACAGGTAGAGGTAGTCTCTAATTTCTTTGTGTAGTCTCCTATTTCTTCGAGTGCTTTGGAGAAGGCAAAAGAGTATTTGTTCCTTCTCGGAGTGTCTATTGGTATTGTCCAGATTCAAGTAGAAGTATTTATCTAATCACAGTAAATTTGTACCAATCCCTAGTATTCCTCAATTACAAAGCTGTATAAATTAGCCACTCTACAAAAGCCATAAAGAATCATATCTGCAATAATGACAATAAAATTCTGGCATATAGCCTGAATAAGTAACACAGAAGCTTCAAAGTTGATTCTGTATGGCTTCAAGTTGAAAGAAATGGCTTTTCAATTCTTTGAAAGATGATAATCCTTGTAAACTGTACATAGTTTCTTTATCATGTTTTATTAATCATAATATACTACTTATTTCTTGATCTTACCATGTAACTTCCTTTCAGTCGTAACAAGCATTTATTAAGTCTTTATTGGGTCCCAGGCACTATATTGGCTTATTTATGTTTTCTTTATAGTGATTAAATATTTTATAACAAAATACATTCTTAAGGTATAATAATAGATTCAGTAGACAGAAACTGTGTCTTTTTCATTTTTGTGTTTATCCCAGAACTCAGAGTCATAGACTTAGTAAACATAAAATCTTCGATGAAATATATGTAGTGTAAATAAATTATGGAGTTTGAAGAATAGTCAAAATACTACAGCTGTAAATATTACGTAAATTCCACTGGTCAAGTGACCTATAAACTCTGCCTTCTCAGTTAAGTTCTATACGATGCATAATTAGGTTATATAGCTTCACTTCCAAGCTAAAATAACTACTTAGATTTGTATTTTTTTCAGTTTCTGTAACTTTTGCTCCTGTAATTTGTTATCATCATTAACCAGTTTTTCCTTTATATTAGTGATTATGATGTAATTATAACATATAAGAGATTTGGTAGGATTTGAAATATGGCTGTGTTTAATTTAATGACATCATAAGAGCAGCATTTTTACTTGCATTTAATATTACTGTGCTGTTTTGACTTTGTATTATTTAGCTTGATCATATCAACATTCTGGTAATCTAGTTTTCTAATATAAATGATAATAATGTGTTATTACATTAGGTACAAACTCTATTAAAGTTATTACAAACAGGATTTCTGCTTTGGTGTTGGAATAGTTTTCCAGCTCTAAGATTCAGTGTTTCTGTGTTCAAGTTAGAAAGTATTATTACTGAGGTATATTGAGATCTATGAAATACATTCACTTGTTTACTGCAAATTTTCAGTGTAAGAATAAACAACACTTAGGTAGGCTTTAATTGGTCCAAAAATACTGATTATCATAAATATTATACCTGTGTGGGTCTTGTACACTAAATGAATATTGAGAGTTTAGAAAATCAAAGTAAATCAAGTTTGCTCAAGGTTGTCTTGCCATACTTTGCCTAATTCAGAATACAGGACCTCAGTATCTCTCTCATCGCCAAGAACTTTTTCTCACTGGATCAACCAGTACTTATAAACTATTATTTTTATGCACCTAGTAGATTAATTCTTAAGTATTAAGACCAGAACAGTAAATGCCATGGGTATAAATTAGCTTTGTAATAATGCTACAGTATACTAGATGTCATTCAGTAGAATTATTTGAAATTTTTACATATAGGAAAAGCATAAACTTTTGCAAACTACTGGTGGGTCAATCAGTGACAGTGTTGGACAATTTAGAGTTTTGCATGATATTTTTGGTCGTAGGTTTTCTTACTCTCATCCTTTTTTTAATAGCCTTTCTAGTTTTTAAATGAGAAGTAGAAAGGTGACTATGTGTTTACTATACCTAGAGGTAAAGGGAAGGGATAGTTATTTATCAGTTCACAGTTATGTCACTAAAATAAAATACTGGAAACATAAATATCTGAATAGGAGCATTGTTAAGTTGTAGTATCATGAATCATATAGTCCACATACAGCTTTTCTGGTCACAGTGCCCTCCACAAATATTGGTTGATATTTCAATTCCCAGATATACTGCAGTTAGCAAAAGAGAACCAAAGTGGAACATCAGCATCTATTCATATAGATAAAAGCATTTGTCAAAAGTAAACCCAAATTATTATTCTTCAACAATAGAAATGTCATTTTCTACTGTTCACATTTTAATATATTAATTATATTACCATCCCTGTCTCTACACTTCAGTTCCCCAGTCATGTAGATGTGCAGTAATGTCACAGAGGTTTCACGGAATCTCCAGAAGCTGGGTTACTACTATGCTCTATGTATTTCACATGT